TTCTTTCAATTTTCTGCAAAAGCTTCCACCAAAATTTTTATTGCCAATTCACCCCCCTCTTAGCCAATTCCATCAATCGATTAACTCAACAAATAATAAATGTGAAAGTGTTCTACGTGGATAAAAAACACTGGAATAAAGTATTGAAAATTAATTATAAAACTAAAGCCCAAATTATATTTTATGAGAATTAGGGGTATAGTTGGCATGCCAAGAGTCGAGGGTTCTACGCGGTCCTTCGGGACAATTCTACGTGGTCCTTTGGGAAAAATTATATGTGGTCCTTCGGGACAAATCTACGTGGCACTTTGGTACAAATTCTACACGATACTTCGGTACAAATTATATGAGCAGTGGTGACTGCATTAGTGCACAACCTCAATGTAATCACATACTTTGAGTTCTCAGCGATATACGTTAGGATAATAAAGCAAACTTGATATAATTTGAACCATGAGTAATAGTATTAAAATGTTAATGAAGTGTCTATTAGTTTTATACAAAATGTTTCAAAAGAATGTATAAGCAAGTGTCAAATGCACATAAGTTAATTAATGAGTAATATTATATGTTATAAGTTATGAAGAGTATGATATTATAATAGTTAATGATTCTTTTGGAAACTTTTACATAAATGTTTTATTATTTTTCTATACTCTGTATTGTCTCACTAAGTCATAGAATTAGCGTGTGATTATTTTTACACGTAGGTTCAGAGACATTAGTAGCATAAGCAAGGGCAGGACAACATATCTCTGAAGGATATCAGATCAGAGTAAAGTTGAATAGTATGTGATTTGATGATTGGCAAGTAGTTGGCATGTACTAAAATTTTGTAAATTATAGATGCTCTGATATGTATTTTACTAAGTTTATTAAATTTTATTTTCAATGTCAAGTTTTAGTTGTATTTTAAAAGTGTTTAAAAAGTCAATGTGACATTCTCATATTCGTATTCGGGTTAGGTACGGGTCAGAGGTGTTACAAAAATATTTTTTCGTTTAATTTTATTATATATATTATATATTAAAAAACCTCCTTATTCAAGAATATTTATTATATTAAATATGGTATGTCTTATGAAAATATTATAATTCCCTTACATGAAAATTTAGGTTTGATCTCCCTTGAGTTTTTCATGTATTTTCCATTAAATTTTGATCAATAACATAGTGAGACCTTATTATTGATGAACAATTTATCGATGAATATTTATTTATTGAGAAAATTAATATGTAAGTATGCTACGTCAGTTGTTGCTATTAATTTTTCAACGAATTATTGATTGAAATAATAATTTTTTAACGACAGACATTAATAAAAAAAAGAGAAAATAACCTCAGTGATCGAAAATTCCTTATAATATACGATTTTGACCAACTTTTTTTCGATTTGCCAAAATGACCAACAAAATCGCAATGCGATCTCCAGTATCGCAAATCAGTTTCCAAATTCGCAACGCGATTTTGACTATCGTAACGCGATAATACATAATCGCAATGTAATTCTGACTATCTCAACGCGATTCTGACTATCGCGTTGCCATAATACAAAATCGCAATGCGATTTTCAAAGCGCCATTAGTATCGGAGATAAATGTCGTGGCATCTTTGCCGATCGCCTATCATGAGGTGATGGTGGAGAAGAGGCTCGATGATGTGACGGAATAGGTGATGGCTCTCGTTGTAGAGGTGTATAGTGTGGTCGATCAGGTGATGGCTCTGGGTGAGGTGATGGCTCTCGAAGTGGAGGCTGCTCATCATCCGTGCCATCAAAAAAATGCTTACTAGCTTGCCACTAATCAGTGGCAAGCTCAGCCTCCGTGGGTGTCAGCCTCTATAATGGAGTGTTGGCCTCCTAACAATATAAAAGCTCAAACAAAGTTAAACGTGTACTAGTAATAACTTGTTTATATATGGTAGTATTTGTGTTAACTTACATCACTTATTGTCGTATACTGTAGTAACTCTTCCCAAATCAACAGTCGTCGTTTCCTCTTCCAGGAAATAGCCCTAGGAATATCATTTGAAGTTTTTAATGCATATGTCTGCATGTCGGGAAAAGCCTCAAATATCCAAATCTACAAACAATATAATACACAAACATTAGTAATTGTTAAATAATTAATTACAATTTTGGAAACATTATATAGAAATTCTTACCTTAAAGGCCCAAATAAAACCTGACAAAGTGTATTTGGAACCATCGCCACGCAAACTTTTGCGGTCATCAAAGGCAGACGACAACTTATTCCAGGTAGCTTTCCATAGATACGAACCCCACGAAAACATGTTCCATGCATTTAGGTCCTCTACCAATAATATTAGGTCCTTAGGAATAGGTTGTCTGGCCTCTCTGCCTAAAAAGCCGGCATGCAAAAGTACTAAAAGGCATACTCGGACAACATCGACGTCATCCATCCGAGTAAAACCATCTTTCTTATTAAATAATCTCGTCAAGTCGTCGACGTGTAAATTCGGCTTCTCCATTGATAGCTCAGAAAAAACCCGGGATAACCATGATGGGCGGGTAATATGACTAGTGTATCGACCTACATCATCGTGTTCGAAGTGTAGACCAGTGATTAAGCAAAACTCCTCTCGCCCAAAACACGTATACGCCGGTGGAAAATGAAATCATATCTCTTCATTACTACGTTTTATACTCTCGGGTAGATCTCTAGTCATGGTCTGAAGCCACAAATGGGTCAGCATAGCATCTCCACCCGGATGTTGTACTTTCAGCCATGGCCCGAAGCAATTATCCTCAAACAATTTTCTTTGTACAAGTGAAAGCTTCGACGCAATTGTATTGACTAGGCTTATTTTATTCCTTAAGGTCAATTGAGCCGAAAAATAGTTCTCCAAAAACAATAAACATACCAAGTTAGATATACCAAAAATTACACTGTGAAGATATACCAAAAACAATAATAAACATAAAGAGTAGTAGTAGTTTATTCTTCAAACTTAAATTTGCAACACTGTGAATTTCGTATTTGTCTTTGTTTTTTGGTTGAAGTAATGCAATTCATTCAAGTTTCAATTTGCAGAAGAAGAATAGTTTCTGAAACTTAAAATCGCAACACGAAAATGAAAATCGCAACACGAAAATGACTATCGCAACGCGAATTTGACTATCGCAACGAGAAACTAAAATCGCGTTGCGATTTTGTCGTTGCGATTTTCATTTCGCGTTGCGATCCTCGGTTTCAAATGGTCATTGTCTAAAATTAAAACTTGAATGAATTGCATTACTTCAACCAAAAGACAAAACAAAGACAAATACTAACTTCACAGTGTTAAAGACTAAACAGTTTAACAGTATTGGCAGTAATCGAATGAATTTAATAAGCAATCTAAGTGAAATGGTTAATTTATTATTGAAATTACCAGTAAACTTATCATCAATTTCAATATGAAAAACCTAATAATAATGCAAAAATTTCAAAATAAAAATAATTAAAAAAACTAACCCTCGGTGGTTGATTTGGTTGATTTTCCATTTCTGATCGTGAATGACTGTGAGGGTGGCTCTGAGAGATGGTGATAGACGGATTTCGCCGGAGATGGGGACGGATTTCGTCGGAGATGGGGACGGATGTCGCCGTAGAGAGTGAGAGATGGATATGAGACTGAGTTGTGATTTAAGGTTTTAGGTTAATAGTTGAGATTACGGGATATATTAATATTCGTGTTTGGAATTTGAAAATAAAATATGCGTTGCTATATTAATGGCACTTTGAAAATCGCATTGCGATTTTGTATTATCGCAACGCGATAGTCAGAATCGCGTTGCGATAGTCAGAATCGCGTTGCGATAGTCAGAATAGCGTTGCGAATCTGGAAACTGATTTGCGATACTGGAGATCGCGTTGCGATTTAGAGATCGCATTGCGATTTTGTTGGTCATTTTGACGAATCGAAAAAAAATGGTCAAAATCGTATATTATAAGGAATTTTCGGTCATTGAGATTATTTTATTATAAAAAAATTGATTTTAGTGATTAAAGTAAAAGTGACTTAAAAGTTCAGATGACTAGCAGCGTGGTTTTCAATATTTATTTAGCAAACCAATGATTATATACAAAGTTTTAATTTTAAAACTAAGCATGATCATGAGGTAAATTGTAAATATCGTGAATTAAATATATTTAATTATTTTATATTAGGAATTAAAGATTAAGTTAATAGATAATTTTTTAATATATATATTTTTAAACAAGAGCAACTAATCTTATTAAAACGTGAAAATATTCAAAATTATAATAAGGATTTACAATAATCATCGCAATTAAATATATAATTTGGATATTTTTTATAACACTTACACAAGAAACTAGTCACTTTATATCATAATTTTTTTAAAAATCTCAACAAAAAAACTTGAACAAAAAATATATACGAACAAATCAGACTGTATCGGCAAAACATATCACAAAAAGAGATTAAACTATTGAAATACCACCGAGAACTACAAATCAAAGTCGAGCTTCTTGAGAAACTATCCACGAACATAAAATTGTGTATCTAAATTCAATATGAGGATGTAGAACATGGAAAATCATCAAGATTACAAATAAACGCCATCATGATCAGTCGTGACGTCGTCAACTCCAACCTTGCGAAAACTTAAAATAAGAACGACCAAACTACTGACATAGAAGACGAAAAACGTGTCACAAAGACAGAAAAAAAACGTGCCACATAGACAAAATCACTATTATTAAAAATCTAAAAAAGTTAGTAGAGAGTTAAAGGTATTTCTTATTGAATGATGAAATAATTACTAATGTTGATTGATTATATTCATAATGTTGATTGATTACATTCATAGACAAGCCAAACCCACACGTAATGAAACTTAATTTATCAAGAACCGATAAAAGAGTTACAGATACTGAAATTACATATTAAATAGATTTAAGAGAAAGTAGGAAAATATGAACTGCAACTGCAACTGCCAACATAGCTTTTTCCATGAATAAATATTTAACAAATAAGCCTGGATCCAAGTATCTTTCTCTTCATCAACTCTACAACAACATAGCTTCACAACCACTAACATGATCACACACACATATATATATAATTCGACATTCCATCAAAAAATATGGAATTTGGCAGCAACGACACCCCATGATGCATGCAATAAATTCGTTCCGATCGAGGAGATGGGAATGCGAGGACTACACCGAGAAGAGCCTGCTCTCTCTCTCTCTCTTACCAAATGCAACATTCACACCTTCCTCTTCTCCATAAACCTCGACCGGTTCTCGGTGTTTTGATTCTGATTCTGTTCTTCAAGGGCACCTTTTGAGACCGTAGCGCGGGAGAGAGATGATTTTTGCTCAGACCTTGAATGGACTCTCTGGCTTGTGGAGAGGCGACTGCTACCTGAAAGAAGCCAACTTGATCGACTATCGCTGGGCCCTAAAGAAGAGGTTGGCCCGCTGCTCGAGGCAACAGCCCTCTTGGACATGCTGCTAGGGCGGGTGGAAGAAGTTCGTGCCCTTCCGGAATCATTATCCTGGAAAACCATGATAGAAGTTCATAATAGCCTTTGGAATAAAAGATGATCAACTCTTCATGCCAATAACCGAGTAAATAAAACAAATTTTATGGCAGTCAGATGCATACCCTATCATTCGATGGTGATGCCTTCTCCGATACTTTCTGCTTTGAATGATCACTGAGAAGTCCGCTGCCTGAAGCATTTTTCCTAGTAAATGCCTCAGCAGCACCTGAAACTCTATCCCGGGTTTCTCGTGCTACAGTAAAAAACATGGAAGAAAAAAAAGGCAAAATCAATTAGCATCTGTTTAACACAGGGAATACATTTTTCTTTAATTAAGTAGCAGCCCAGAAACATGTTGAATCACTTGGCTGTAAAATGGCAAGGTTAAGTACCAGAGCCTCGAGCATGATAATTGCAATTAAGAATTGTATCTAGAAGGAACTCTAGAAAACTAAGGAAATCAAGAAATCCAAATACACGCTAAGCGTTCAAATATTTTAAACTGTATATCCCGTCCCTACAACCTCAAGAGAGAATGGAGTGCACCTGATGGCTTCTTTGTTCTTTCAGCAGATGTTCCAGTGTTTACAGCAACTTTTCCACTTGATGGCTGAAAAGACACAACAAAGCAAATAAGCATAATCTGCGATAGGAGAGATGTACAGCTCAACAGTGACACTCACTGACCCGTTGTTTAGAGCTACCAGTCAGCTGGGGATACTTGAGTATGGTCCAGTCATACACATAGTCGAACTGATATCCTGTAAACAAAACCATGTCGGGTCAAAAACTGCCTTCCAACAGCCTTCAAATAAATATTTTGCAACTTCTTGAAAACAGGAAAATTAACTTCAGCCAGAAACAGAATTAGTCAACAGACGCTATTGATTTTGCAAAAACAAACTGTGTTCACAACATGTTTAAAATGCATTTTCACAGATGTCGGTATGCAACATCCTTATACTATTTGAAGCTGCATGAGTTAGTTACTGATATTTGCGTACAATCAATTCTGACAAAGCGACACCAATCTATGCAGAGTTTCTTATACATTTGAATGACTGACAAGACCAGAAGAAACTAGAAAGGTAGGTCATCAAGTTTCCAGAAAACAACCCATCTTCACAAATGTTAAATTTCAAAACAGTCATGCTTTGACCGGTAGCGCTTGTGTTAAGATAAACATAGACTCGGGTATGTTACAAATATTTTTGGGCATTACAACAGATACAAACAGCTACCATCCATTAGTAATAGCTGAGATACGATGAAAGTATTTTGAACTTGAAACAACAATGCAGGGTTCTTTCTTACCTTCTCGAATAAACAAGTCACGGAAAAGCTTCTTCAAGTACGAATAATCTGGCTTGTCTTCAAAGCGTAATGAACGACAATAATGGAAGTATGATACGAATTCAGATGGATATGACTTGCAAAGTACCTAAAGGAAGGATTTTCACATTTTAGGTGATTAGTCACAAATAAGGGAAAAGTACTGACAGGGTTATGACACAAGCCTTGCCTTTTCAGAATTCAATACGAATTCCCTATGCATTAAACTATAAGAATATCATTCTACATGCAAGTGACAAGTTGAAACTTATAATACCTCAACAGGAGTTAACATCTTCTTTTCACTGATTCTATCATACTTCTGCTTTTTTGTTCCTGCTCTAAGGCCCTGCCATGGAAGGCTGATTCCAGCAATACAAAATAAGAACGTGAATAAAGACAAATAGTTTTTCAATCAAATTTAGAACACAAAAAAGAATAGTGCTTATATTGTTACAACCTTCCCTGTAAGAAATACATTAGCACATAACCAAGAGATTCCAAATCATCTCTTCTGCTTTGCTCTGCATATGAATTGAGAAACAATTAGACTGCACAATTCACATCATGACTAACATGAATAAGCAGAAACAAGAAGATAACTATTCTGGCACTTTACCCACCAACTCCAAGGTGAGTGTTTACACTTGCATATCGAGCTGTGCCAGTAAGATTCTTATTCTCTCTGTAAAAATAGCAAAATCAAAGTAAATATTGAACACAAAGAATAAATAGATAAAGAACCACTCAAATAAACAATTGAAACTAATCATAGATGCTAGTAAAAATGCGATCAATTTTTGGACAATTTAAAGCAGCATGTAAGCAATTGAACATAAAAGAATGCAAGTAAAAGAAGACAACAACTGATCAAGAACTTCAAAAGTACCCTGGCCTGGTGCCCGCCTTTTCTAGCTTGTTTAGCTAGATGCTATCATTTTCAATGAGAATCACCACCCATAAGAAATTAATTTACAAGTATCTACCTTTCACATAGAAAAACATGTCACATACTAGATAAATGTAACTGCAGGAAACAAGGATTCATTGTAAGACTATTATGGATAAGCAACAATGGTAAATGCATACCTATATGGTATGTGTTTATGAGTTTGAAGATCCCTATACTTTTTAGCAAGGCCGTAATCAATGGCATACACCTGTTACAAAATCAATGTGATGATTAGTAGCAAGTTGAGACATTTAGTTAATGGCCCTTCACATAACAAATAAATACAGCTGCAGTAACATTTTGGAATATTCAGTTATCAACCATTGATACAGGCAAGAGAAGCTGATGCAAACTTCAATATATAATCAGAACTGACCTAAGGCACCAACATGAAATAATATTTGAATAAAGCTCAACATAAAGAAGCAAAATTAACTCTAAGAGGATACCATGATAAAAATTTACTTGCCCACGTGTTATTTCAATATCTTAAATTAACTCTTCATTGAATTAAATAATTGTATCATATTTAAGATGAAAAAATGCTTATGTGAAAATTTCACAAAAGAAAATCACACTGATGCATCCGCGATACAAGACCTTGTAGATGTCCTCTCTTTGGACTTCTTGGTTACCATTGTATCAGATATTGAATCATTGAAACTCACAGTTTAGACAAAAAGGATTAGCTTTTACTCGGGAAACATGATAATTTTCTTTTTTAAACTTTCTTATGGAAGTCTGGAACTATTAACTGCTACAGTTATAAGTGTGAACCATAAAGTCTTCTTACTGATGGATAATCTTAAGAAACACATATCAGCATTAGCAAGATATAAAATAATAAACTTCGCTCTCTAAATTCCCACCTTTCTCTATTTCACCAACCATGAAGTTCGAGAAAATTCCAAATGAGTGCACTCCACAATCTAACCAGAAATTGAAAGCATTTAGCTGAAGTACCTGATTTGCTTTTCGTCCCAAACCCATTAGAAAGTTGTCAGGTTTTATATCACGGTGAAGAAATCCCCTTGAGTGCATATATTCAACTCTGTTGATCTGAAGGGTAACAGATACAGGAGAATTTGTCACACTTGATGCTAAACTAATAGGCAGAAAATTTCTCCTGTAAGACAGGTAAACATACTAACTGATCTGCGAGCATTAAAACTGTCTTCAAAGAGAGCTTTCGATTGCAGTAGTTGAACAAGTCCTCGAGGCTTGGCCCTAGAAGCTCGATAATCATAACATTGAAGTCACCTTCAACTCCAAACCAATTGAGCTGGGGAATCCCCGCTTCATCAAAAACAATAAAGAAAAAGAACAATGAACTTTAGTTAAATCTTTTTTATATCGAGTTCAAATTTTTCTAATTATGCTTATTTATAATCAACGCAGAAAATAACAAAATCTTACTTCCGCCTTGAAGAAGCATGTACAACTTTGATTCATAGTGAAGCTGAGGGTGCTTGGTCTTCACAGGTTCCTAAAAATGTAGGCAAAAAGTATATCATGGTGATCAATATCCAATGAGATTAAGGAAGGGAATTGACAGACACATTCTGAATTCACTTCTCGCAACATTCAGGAAGAAAAAGACACTTTTCATTCTACAATACATGCCCACTATGAAGCAACTACACTCAGTCTAGTTCCATTTTCGTAAATTTCAGCCCACTAGCCACAAGTCCAACTTAGACAGAGATATTTGGTCAAAAGGGAAAAAATAAAATATTGAAACACATTGCACTTGCACAGTTCTGCGAAATACAAAACTTAAAACTGCCCAAAAAAGGCCCTATTCCAAAATTTAATATATCTTTTAATCCAAATCTCTGTTCTGGTCAGCATTTCCCAACTCAAAACTTTATCATTGGGCAAAGTATGTTCTGATCCAATAAATCTCGTAAACTCACACTTGCAAATGACTATACATAGCTATTCTCATAACATTATGATTACTTAATTTAACTCTTTTCCACACAGAATATTCAAAATCCAACTGATTGCATTGATATTGAAAATACAAGTAGCTAGACTCGAAATGTAAAACCATTCCCTAGAATTTTCTTATATCCAGATGATTATATATCAATACAAAACCAGTAAATTACTAACAAAAATTAAGCCAATCAAACCTATACTAAATTTAATTCCAAAAACACAAGGCTCATACCATCTTAATCGCAACTTCTTCCCCTGTCTGTACATTGACCCCTATCAAAAACAAATTCCCAGTAAATCAGATTAATTATTACTTCAATTTAAAAGGTAAAAAAAATTAAAGAGGAAAGAAAAAAGAGAAACATATTTACCGAGGAAAAGCTCGCCGAAAGATCCAGCTCCGATCTTCCGGCCCATTTTGAATTTTCCACCGATTACACGATCCATTATCAATTTACTTTATTATTCAGAAAAATTTAATCAAAAACTCAAATAAAAATTTATAATCAGATGATTTCATAACAAAACCGGCTGTAATTGGGAAAAATAAAAGGCGGAAATTATTGGGTCAATGAACCACATTGCTTGAAAAAAATGAATAGTTTTCGTGTCAAAAAAATCAATAAAATGGAATTAAAACAATGAGATTGTCAAATGATAAGAGGAAAAGAAAGCGGGAAGAAGGAGAGACAAAGAAATCAAACAAAGATTTTCGATTAAGAAGGAGAGGGAATTTTCTCTGTTTCTATGATTTTTTTTTGGGATTTTTTAAGAAAAAGAATTTTATTTTATTTTTTTCCTGGAAACTTTTTTCCCCCTTCCCTTTTTATCTTTTTTTCTTTTGGTATATAATTTCCTTCTGTTTTGTGCGCGGTTAATACTTAAGACGGCGAGCGGCTCGAGCAAGCACGTGACCAACACGTGCATAACAGTTCATTACGTGGTATTAGAACGTATCGTTATTTGTTTTTCCTTTTTTTCTTGTTTCCTTTTGATTTTCCCGGTAACCAAACAGAACTACAGAAGCAAAGAAGCTAGTTCCGCCAGAATTCTAAAAACAGGGAAGCTAGAAAATCGAGAAAAATGAACGAAAACTCGTTTGGATCAAGAATTAACGATGGATCCGTTGAAACAATTCCAAGAAATGCTGGAACCTGACCTCTTTTGTCAGTGATTCACATTATTTGAGAAGTTAGGTGGTTTTCTCTATTCGATTATGAAATCTATATATATATATATATATATATATATAATATATAGATTTATCGATTCAGTTGTTAGATTGTATTCAAAAATCATTATTCTGCAGTGTTTAATTACCATGAAATGAAAAATTTAGGAATATATGCAAAATATTTTCTTTTAACATAGAGAATAAAATTTATTTTTGAAATTTTATTTAGGGTTACCAAAACATATTTTGTTTTCCATTGATTAAATCACCATTAATTTAATCCCAAAAATTTATCGATTTTTCATGCAACTGACTATCTCTGTATACCTCAATTTGCAGCAGCTAATGCTTCGAGTTTTCGGAGAATTCCTGCAGTAAACAATAAGGTGACAACTCTTCTTATGATGTCGAAAACTATGGAGTTTTAAAGGTACATTTCCATGGAAGATTCATGCAAATGCACTCCATCTTTTGTCATCTTTATCAACAGGAAAGAATTAACAACATAAGTGCTGAATTTGCATAGGCATTGCCATTAATGATCATTGATATCTGAAAGACTTATCTGGATAATGCCATTAGTATTAGAGAAGGTTTAAGGGGTTTCCGGACAGAATTTAGCACTTGTTCTTTGCAATTTCATTGCTTTTTTTTATCAAATACAGTCTATTTGTGGCAGAAGGCACTTATCTGCTCGAGTTATTTCTGCAGTGTCCTAGCCAACCATTCTTTCAATCCTTGAATTTAAGTCTGTATTGTTCAACACGAATTAAGCGACATCGGTGATAAAGGAATGATTGTTATTCCTTGAAGTTCCGCGTTCGAGCACCATGAATGTCAGAAGTATGAGCGTTATATGTCAAATGATTCAAGCCCGAATTAACTCTTCGCTAAATATTACACATTTAGTAACATATGTCCATGACTATTTCTTCTGGATTTGGTGAATTTATATGCTCAAATAATGTTATGGTGGTTTCAACTTCCAAGGGTGCATCATCCTGTTTTCCAGCTTTGTGGAGATCCAAATTCCCTGAAGATAAGGTAAGCTATTATAAATCTAAGAAATGGCTGACCATTCCTACTCTGCCTAGGTCCTTGAAAGAAACCTGCATCCGGAACAAGAGGAAGCAACCTAAGTTACCCCGAGTTAGGGACAAGTATCAGGTACGAGCACGATCGATGTTTCGAAATTGAATATACCCTTGCTTGTATGATTTAAAGCACAGATAATGAAATGAAGAGTCCAGTAACACAGAAAGCAACAGGAAGCGAAACCCGAGTTCGCCGAGTAGGTATGAAAACTATATCTTCCGCATTACTCACCGGAATATAATGCAGTAAATGTGAATGAAATCTGGGCTTCTCTTTGCTTGAAATTAGCTCGAGTAATAAATGTTGTTCTTGTTGGTACATAGGTAATAAATGTTGAGTAAGGGTTAGGGAAGGTATTTTTAATGAATGATAATTGGAATAAGATATGGACATTCTTGTTTCTTCCTCCCCAAGAAATGCAGTTCTTTATAATTTCTTAATAAAAATCGAAGCAGGATTTGATTCGATCGGCCATGAAATCTGGTGTTGAAGGATCGATGTCCACTCATTGCCATTATCCAAATTGTAAGTCACCAGAATGAAACGTGGAGGAACTAGAGCTTACCAAAAAATATTGGTCTAATGACATTTTTAGCCCCTGAACTTTCATTTTAGTCTTTACTTTTTGGGTAAATTACAAATTTGGCAATTGAACTTTACACTCTCGTATTTCACTCATTGTACTTTAAATCTTTTCAACTTTCACATTGAACTTAATATATTGAGTTTTTTTTACCACTAAGTCGTTTTCTCACTAACGACATTATAAATTGGTTGTTATATAAAAGCAAAACAACGTCATTTTAGTGAAACTTTTGTTTTTAAAATGACGTCGTTTTAACACTGTTAACTATTTAACCCAGAATGAAAAAAACCCTCAATATATTAAGTTTAGTGAGAAATTTGAAAATTTTTAAAATTCAATGAGTAAAATAAGAGAGAGATTAAAGTTTAGTAATGAAATATGTAATTTACCCCTAATTTTCTTTCGTCTTTTTTTTAACATTCAAACTTTTAGTTTTTTTAATCAAATTGAACTAAAGAAAAAATGATAAAATATTAAGATGATGTTAGTTGTTTTATATTTTTTATTGTTAACTTTTATAATGCATTTACATTTTTAACGTATTTTACATTTTTTAATCATTTAAATATATCCTTTACAATTTTTAAATTTTTTTAAAGTTTTATATAAAATGATGACTTAAAATATCTGTTATTTTTGTCGGTTGGTTAAATTTGATAAAAGAAAGACAAATGATTTTTAAAGTTCGAGAGCCAAAAATGTCATTAGATTAAAAATATTTTAGAAAAATAAAATTAATTTTGATTATTTAAATAATTCTAGAACTCTATAATTTTGTTTAGTTTGAAAATGAGATAAATCAAATTGATTTTAACCAATGTAATTTTAGTTAAGTCAATTTGATTATAAGTTTTATGAACTTTTACTTTTTAAAATTTAAAAATTACACACTAATTTTTCTTTAAGATCATATCGATAATATTTGTTTTAGGATAAAGTATACAAATGGTCCTCCGATTATAATATGTTGTTTTGTTGAGTTTCTGACTATTAAAAGTTAAAAAATGGTCCAGGTTATTCGGCGCTGCTTTGTTGAGTCCAACGACTGTTGAAAGTTATAAAATGATCATCCAACTATTCATATGTTCCAAACTCGTCATTTTCTGTGAAAAATTGACGACAAACTGAGTTGGACTTTAACCTGATGATTGAGATATAATAAAATCTAATCCAAGAATCTCAAATGACTATCATATTTCAATTAGTATGTTAACGTCCAGCTCAAACGACCATCAATTTTTTTAACAAAAAATAACAAATTTGGAACATATAAATAGTCGGGTGACCATTTTGTAACTTTTAATAGCTAAAGGACTTAACAAAGAAACATCCTACAATCGGAGAACCATTTTGTAACTTTTAATAGTCGGGATTTAATAAAGAGAAAATAATCTCAGTGACCGAAAATGCCTTATAATATATGATTTTAACCAACTTTTTTTGGATTTGCCAAAATGACCAACAAATTCGCAACGCGAACTCCAATTTTGCAACCCAGTTTCCAATTTCGCAACGCGAATATGTAAATCGCAACACAGAAGTCAAATTCGCAACGCTATAGTCAAATTTGCAACATAAAAGTCAAATTCGCAACGCGGAATTTCAAATTCGCAACACTAATTTAATTTCGCAACAGGTTTTAGTTTCGCAACACAAATGTTTTGGGTATATAACAACGCAGCAGCAACTCATAACCTAAATCCCTAAATCGCAACTCATTCAATCTCCATCTATCACTCTCTCCGGCGACATCTGTTCATATATCCAACGACATCCTTCCCCATCTCTAATTTTTTTTTACATAATTTTATTTCTATATAATTTTTCAATGATTTCTCTCCCAAATTATCAACTATCAACTTAATAAATGTATGTTTTTCTCTAAGTTAGTGATGATATCTAGTTTATAGCTCGTTTTTTAGTAAATTAATTTACAATTTATAGAATGAAATCATCTATTGTTGATCATGTTTGGATAGATTTGTGTTTTGGAGGGTCATGGGAGAATGTTCATGGTGTTTTACAATATGTTTCTTTACCCATGAATCTTCAACTAAAACTGTCATTAAAAAAGTTAACTTATGAAACTTTAATGTTATGTGTTGCAAAGAAATTGAATTTAGAGCCTCTAAGTGGATTTAGGTTATCTTATCAGAGAAAATGTAAAGTTTATTTGTTAACCGACAATGAAGATGTTGAACGATTCATTGCTTACATTAGTGTTTCGCAAGAAGATGATGTTACATTGTATGTTGTTGAACCTAGAAGTAGTGAAGTTGGGTCAGTAGCGGGTAGTAATCAACTAAGTTCTTCAACCCAAAATTTAATGGTTCCACCACAATTTCATCACTAAGCAAATTTTGTTTCACCACATTTCCAATATCAAACACTATCAAACACAATCTCAAAACCCACAACATTTTCCTAATCCAAATCCCAATCAACTTTCAGCACCAAATTCCGATTTTCGTATTGACCAGTTAGACGATTATGAGCCAACAGAAAAAATTGTGAGTACTAGTCAGTATTCGAAATTTGATCTTGGTCAATGCCCAGACTTTGATCTTGGTTAATACTCGGATTTTGATGATGTGATGGAAGAAGAAACATACCCTGCATGTAATGATTTTAATATTGGTCAATACCCGAATTTTGATAATGAAACAGCCGCTGCCGAGGAAGATGTTGTTGATGATAATGAGGAGGAAGTTACGACTATGAATGAACATGATGAACATCCATTCTGTAATTCATATAACCTTGAAGAAGAAGAAGAAGAAGTCCCCGAAGAAAGAAAAAAGAAGAAAATGACACGGGAGTATAACTGGAATATGCCAGAATTACTTCAGATACCGGAAGAATAGTTGATAAAGATAGCAGTTGATTGTT